TCTGAAAATGGCCCTTTAACTGATTCTGAAGCTCAGTTCATCAAACACAGGCAGCTTTTGTATTACAGAGATGAGTTTGGTGATAGAGGTGAAAATGTGAAAATTGATCCATCTATGGTGTTTGAGAATGATAGAATCAAGAATGCTTATATTGCTTTACAAGCATGGAAACAAGCTATCATTTCAGATCCCTTTAATATCACTCTCAATTGGGTTGGTCCTAATGTATGCAGCTACACCGGAATCTTCTGTGCTCCGGCTTTGGATAACCCCAAAATCCGTACAGTTGCCGGCATTGACCTTAACCATGGTGACATTGCAGGGTACCTCCCGGAAGAGCTTGGGCTTCTTACAGATCTTGGGATTTTCCATATCAATTCAAACCGTTTCTGTGGTACAATACCAAGAAAATTCAGCAAGTTGAAGATACTGTTCGAGCTGGATCTGAGTAATAACAGGTTTGCTGGGAAGTTTCCTTATGTTGTTTTGAGTTTACCCAAGTTGATATTTTTGGATATTAGGTTCAATGAATTTGAAGGTAATGTACCTTCACAGCTTTTTGATAAGCCATTAGACGCCATTTTTATTAATCATAATCGATTTGCGTTTGAGTTGCCGGAGAATTTTGGGAATTCGCCGGTTTCTGTGATAGTTCTGGCGAGTAACAGTTTCCATGGGTGTCTTCCGGCGAGTATTGGGAATATGAGTAATCTTAATGAGGCGATTTTAATGAACAATGGGTTGCGTTCTTGTTTGCCGGCGGAGATTGGGGTGTTGAAAAATTTGACTGTATTTGATGTGAGCTTTAATCAGTTGATGGGTCCGTTGCCGGAGAATTTTGGTGATTTGGTGAATTTGGAGCAATTGAATGTGGCACATAATATGCTTTCTGGGACAATTCCGAAAAGTATTTGTCAGCTTCCTAAGCTTGAGAATTTTACGTATTCTTATAATTTCTTCACTGGTGAACCGCCGGTGTGTTTGGGGTTGCCGGAGTTTCATGATGAACGGAATTGTTTGCCCAACAGACCGGTGCAACGCTCTCCGGGACAGTGTAAGGCCTTTTTGTCTAAAAAAATTCATTGTAGTGCTTTCAGGTGTCATAAATTTGTTCCTGTTTTGCCACCTCCTCCGCCACTTTCACCGCCCTTGCCTGCCCCTCCGCCACCTGTTTATTCGCCTCCGCCACCAGTTTATACTCCTCCTTCTCCTTCCCCACCACCTCCTCCACCTCCAGTTTATTCACCACCGCCACCACCACCCTCTCCACCTCCTCCATCACCTCCCCCGCCTCCACCACCAGTCTATTCACCTCCACCCCCACCTCCATCTCCTCCTCCACCATCACCTCCACCACCACCCCCGCCATCTCCACCTCCACCACCAGTTTATTCATCACCACCACCGCCACCATCTCCCCCTCCACCATCACCTCCACCTCCTCCCCCACCCGTTTATTCGCCACCACCATCTCCACCTCCTCCATCACCATTGCCTTATTGTATACGCTCACCTCCACCACCAAATTCCCCACCTCCTAATTCTCCACCTCCACCGCTTGCTCACTCGCCTCCACCCCCTTCACCTTACTATTACAATTCACCAGCACCTCCGCCCCCAAATTCGCCGCCTCCACCACCAAATTCGCCTCCTCCTCCACCAGTATGCATATACTCATCACCTCCGCCACCAAATTCACCTCCTCCACCACCAACATACGTATATTCTTCACCTCCTCCACCTCCTTCCCCATTGCCTTGTATAGAACCCCCTCCACCACCTCCTCCTTGCATTGAACCACCCCCACCTCCCTCCCCTTCACCATCACCTCCTCCACCACCAGTTTATCATTACAATTCTCCGCCCCCACCATCTCCATCTCCTCCACCACCAGTTTATTATTACAATTCTCCACCCCCACCATCACCACCACCTACTCCAGTATATGAAGGGCCATTGCCACCAATAATAGGAGTTCAATATGCTTCACCACCTCCACCACCCTTTTATTAATTCTTTCAGAAATTTCCACTAACTTATCCTCAAAGCACAAAATTATCCCTACAATTATTATTTCCTCGAACTCTTCAAGCCATCAACAAAATCGAGCTAATACGTGATCACAAAGTTAAAATGGCGTGACAGAAAGAAAGAAAAAAGAGGAGGTAAAGAGGAGAAAGATTGAATCTCCGCAGATTTTATTTTTGAATTGTTATCAAATAGATTGAAGTTGTGGAGCGAATAAATTGGCAAAGAAAAGATAGAAACTTTGCAGGAAAATGTATGTATAGAGATCATAATCTGGGCTTAAATCCAGTTTACAGTGCTTGCTGCATCTAGTTTTTCTATTTTGTGAGTTTTTATTGTTAGATTTTAGTTCCATCATACTTTGTTTTCTTTGTATTTTTATTTTTTTGGGTTTTTTTCCAAACTATAGTATAATGATGAGCATTTTCTGTTTTACTTGTATTGATTCTCAGAATTCAGATTATTCCTTTGTGTTTCTTCTCTTATAGTAGTAGTGTATGTATATCTTCTTGATCTTGCAAAGCTCCAACTCTAGTTTTGTTTTCATAGTGTTGAATATGTACAAATTGCATTTATTTCAAGTAAAGTTTTTGGGGAGTTGGTCTATTATCAATGCTAAAGGAGGAAAGTACATGTGGTGTGTTCATTGATTACAAATTTATACCACCTCTAGTTGTTAATTGTTGGACTTGGATGGTGGTCCTTCTTATCTTTTTGCTTAAAAACAACAACTTCATTGTTGTAATAAATGTGCGACTTAGCAGTTAATGAAGCGGGTGAAAATTTTGAAAATAAAGGATAGACAATGAAATAGGTGAAAATCTCAGGGTTTAGGGTTTGGCGCCCATCATGAACTTAGGGGTTTAGACCTTGTTGTTAGTCTAGGGGTTTAGACCTTGTTGTTACTCTGGTATATAAGTGGGGAAGGTCAGAAGGACTCGCGGGTTTAGACTTTGTTGTAGATAAAAATCTTGTATTTAAGCAGAGAAGGTAAGAGGGATGAGTATGTTACAAACTTGGGGGTTTAAACCTTGTTGCAGAATTTAAGTAGAGAAGGTAAGAAGAACGAGCATGTCAAAAACGCAGACATATAAAAGTCTTGTATTCAAGTGGAGAAAGTAAGAGGGACAAGCACGTCACAAACTCAATGTTTAGACCTTGTTGCATTCAACAATCTTGTATTTAAGTGGTTAAGGTCAAAAAGACGAACATATTACTAATCGAGTTTCAAGTTGCGCAAGAAACTTCTTGCTTGTAAAAAAGAAAATCATAAAAACCAGGGTTCAAAGATCAATGTAGACGAAAAAAAAACTCTAAGTGATTTACCTATGACATTGGGATGTAATATTTATTTTGATAAAATAGTTAAGATGTGTGATAAACCGATTCGAACATCATAATTATGAAAAAAAAAAGTCAATAACTTTATTGATACCAATTGGTAAAAAAAAGAAAAAGCAAAAATCTTGACCTTACATATTTCAAGGGTCAAGATTCTTCCGGACTCATATGCTGGAATTGAGGTAATTTGATTCAAATAATTCGTCTTTGCTACTATACTTTACAGTTGTTGGAAACGTGTATGATGTCAACACTTGGACCTTTTTGATCCACCAAAATTAATTTTTTTAAAATAATATTTTCTTCGTCTCAAAATAAATATTTATTCTTTTATTTATTATAAAAGTCAATGTGATGAATTATTAAAATTGAATTGAGTTAGTTTAATCCTAAAAATAACAAATTAGATATTATAAAACTATACGAAAAGTATTGAATACTACAATTCTTTTCATATCAATATGACCAAAAAAAATTGATCGAAGTTCATATAATTTGGATCAGAGAGAGTGATTTTTTCAAATTTTGAATTTCACATATTATGAATAATTATTGGATATTATACTCTGAGTGATTAAATAGCGGGGGAATTTTTTTAATGTTGTCAGTTTATTCTCTTCTCATTCAATTTTATTTGTACAGTTTGAAAAATCTAGATATAATTTATTATTTTATACCTATATGTGATTTTTATTGTGAATTTATCACATATAACATTTAACACGACTTACAATAATCAGAGATGATACAATAAAATTATCATTCTACTTATTATATTTAAAAATGTGTGTTAAGTCAAACATGAAACGAATTGCGTATAAAAGTAAAACTTTGTCCTTACACTAAATTCACACTCATTCTTATAAATTCAGCTTAATTTTATTTTTAGGCCTTTTTATCTATGTCTATTTTGGGTGTAGTTGAAAAAAACGACCAAATTAATCAAGTCTTCCTTTGATGAAGGGGAAATAGTTTAAATTCAGTCTTAAATTGGAAGTCTCCATCATTAATTTAGGGAAAAGTAATTAATTCCACTATCACTTTGCTAATTGGATTCAAATTTCAAACTCACTTGGATTTCTTTAATCAATTACTATTTTTTAAAATTAAAGAGAGGTTTACAGATTTTCAGGATTCCTCAATAGTCATGCCTTCTTTTTTTTCCGAATAATGGTGGTGTTCGAATCAACTTATTCGTACTCAGAAACGAACTCTCATCAATAAGGTAAATGTTTAGGTAGTCAATCAATTAAGCTACTAACATTCTCAACCTTTTGTGTCATTGTTTCACTTATATCTACCTTTTTTTATTCAATTATTTTGTATCGAGAATTCAATGTTTCGATTAATTTAAATTTATACTTTTCATTACAAGGATTTTAGTGCTTCTTAGTGAACGAAGATTCCAATTTGAAATTGAAGTGAACACTTCCCCTAAATTATATATCTTTGGGTTCAACCTAATAGAATTGAAACTTAAGTATTTATTCGGACTCAATATTTATGTGTGTTAAAAAGAAAATAAGAGAGCCTCTTCCTTCTAGCCGTTGATATAACATGGTTAAATTTTTTGTGCAAATCTTGCAGGGTGCACCTTTAAGTTTGAAAAATGTTCTTTATGGCCCTCGATTCTACTTTGCTATTTGTTGCCACAGAAAAAAAGTGACATAAGTTATGGGGAAATGGTTTAAAATAAATTATCACGATATGAAATATTTTAATTTTTTCTTTCGTCATTTTTTCGTAATTGAATTACTTAAGTTAAGTATCTTTTGAAAATAGTCTCTCTACTTTCATGAGGTAGGACAAGATCTATAACACATTAAATCCACCTTAGAAGATCAAGGAAAAATACGATACTATGCAAATAACGTGAGTATGAGTAAGCACAACGAAGAGGGAGTAAAGTTTAAGCTACAAATTTGACAAAACTCAGTAGCTTTACTTCAAACTCATGTATTTAAAGACGCTAAATTAAATACATTTTTTTTATTCTTTGAGAAAAAACCTACGCAAAGAGCTTATTTGCGGATGAGGAATTAACATACATACTAACTCACTTTCATCCTTCATGTTCATAGATCGGGGAGGAATCGAACGATTTGATTAAATATCTAGTGACAAATTCCTATATTCCTTTCATTACAATATTTTTAAACAAGTTTTTGGATAATAAATTGGAAAAATTACTTAAATACACAACACTTCTTTACATATTTTCAATATTTCCCTACTCTTTTACTAAAATACAAAAATCCCTTATTTTCCCCCAATTCAACTTAACCGGATACTTTATTAGTTTAAGTATCGGCCCGTATTAATTAAAGTATTCGCGCTGCTATATTATGCATCCGCCCGTTAATTTAAGTATCCAGCCCGTATTAATTTAAGTATCCGCGCTGCTATATTATGCATCCATCCGTTAATTTAAGTATCCGCCCGTTATTAATTAAAGTATCTGCGCTGCTATATTATGTATCCGAAAAACACTAAAAAAGGGATTTTTGGTAATTAATGAAAGAGTAGGGAAAGAAAGTAATTTCTTTCTTATACTATGTCATTTGCCTAATTTTTACTAATAAATTTGGAATCAATAGTCAATTCTATTTTCGATACAAGTGGTTGACAATTATTGATTTCCACTTTGACCATTAATTTCATATTTGTAAAAGTGCCCTTCAAATAATTCAAAGAATAGTGGTATTGAGACATTAAGTTTATCTAAATCATGCATTAGGCTTAACCCATCAAATTGAAATTTAAATATTTATTCATACTAGATATTAACGTTTTTTTTAAAAACATGAGAGCCTCTTCCTTCTAGCCGTTGGTATAACTTAAGATTTTTTTTCGACAATATTTTCAATAAAAACCCTACCAAAATATGTGTTTTCATTTAGTATTGTGTCCTAACATCACACGTGAATATACCTAACAAAATACCCCATTTTATGGGTCACTTGTTGTCTATTCAAATCGGGCCAAATTTGTGGAATTAGTGATATCGTAACCGTTTTTTATTCGAACTATTTATGTATAGATACTATTCAATATTGTTCCTAAGTCTAAAATATTTTGTTATAAAGTCATAATTATTGATTCAACAATATGCTTTACGCGTATTGACTTGCAATTTTGAACTCATCTCGATCTATCATTAATTTATCATCGTTCCTTTCTCCTCAACGTTCTTTTCTCCTCAATCAGTGGCATAACTGTATACCGTGAAAAATAATCAGTTAAACATTCTTCGTCAGAAATTTATAATATATACTATATATATTGAAAATTTAAATTTATCAACAAAATTTTTGTTTTTACCACTATATTCAATTTATTTACCTTTTTTTCTTCTTCAAATAAAGTGTTAGAAAAATAAAATCATGAACCCTCCTTATATATAAAAGAGCTCGTGGTTTCATTATTTATTAAATAATGCTCTTTCATTTTAATTTATATAAATTTATGTAACTAAACACGATATTTAATTAAAATAAATAAAATTAATTCTTAATATTATAGTATTTATATATCTATAACAGCTTGTTATAAAGGGAAAAAAATGAGAAGTTCAAGGAAGTGGCGAGTTACTAACCTTCACTTAATAAAGCAAATTTTATTAGTAAAAGATCAATAAATGGATGATATTAATAATTTTTCGAGTTATTTTGTGTTCACTTAATCAATTGAATAATATATATTCTTATATATTAAAATTATAATAAATTATATGATTTGAAATAAATATCTATTGTGAGTAAGTATTTGTCCACTTAATCGGACTCTTTAAGTTTATGTTTTTTTGGTTGTTTGTATTAATTTGTTGTCTTTAGTTATAGTACTCTTTTTCACCAACCGTTTCTTATATTTGGTCAACATCATATGGGACTTTTTCCACATTGTTTATGTTTTATCAACACCAACAGTTTTTTTTTAAAAAAAATAAGTAGTCAATTTTCTTATGTATTGATGGCATTTGAGTGGTAAATATTTATTCACAAGGATATTTATATTAAATTGTATTAACTTATTATCGTTAAGCAATTTAATAAGATAAAATGCACATTAAGTTACCATGAGGGTAAGTGATAGAAGTCTATGCAAAACACATATAAATTAGTTATAATACATTGAT